ATCCATGTAAATATACAAACTGGAATTCTCCTTAGGCTGCATAATAGATGTCAAAGCTTCACCACGTCCTGGAAGTGGGCTCACTAAATGGTCTGACTGCCAAGACTTTCATCTCAAGTGATGTTGTCTGATGGCATGTCAGTTGCTCTGCTTTTGCAGACATGAATCACTCATGATGTCAACCTTTCCTAAATGACCTTGGCAACACATGGGAGCAGTTTCACTTAAATACTTTTATGTTCAGTTGCCACACACACTATTTTGAACTGGCCGTGCTTAAAGATCTTTTCTACAATATAATCATTAATCACACAAAGCCCATTTTAACAAGGCACATAACCCAAGAAGAGATCCATACACATAGCAGGCTGCAGTTTAACTGTTTACAGTCCGATATCACTTTGACATCTCGCACAGAGCAGTCAGTTGACCTACAGTGTGGTAAGAAAGCTTGCATTTGTTAAAGGTTCATTTGTGGATAAATGATAGTAATACGTACCATTACTGATTTATAGCATGCCACTTGGAATTCAAGAGCAAGCATGTATGATGTGCTGTCCAGGAGGCCTGCAAAAGACTCAGCTGTGCTACCTAGTGGTTGTCTGTGCCATGAAGAGTAAGGCTTCTGTGGGATTCTTAAAGGATTTAAAGTAGATTGGCAAGTGCAGGTGTTTAGGAAGCAAATGAAAAAATGCAAATCGAGATTTCAGGGCCTGGTAAAAATCAGTTACCAAGTGCAGATAGCTTTGCACTTGAGGTGATAGAAGACAATTGAAACCTAAAGCTTGGGAGTATATTAAAGGTGGCTTCTAGACATTGCTTCAGCAGATATAATCAATTACAAATACATGCACTGGACAGTCTGCATTGTAAAAGTTAGTTTGAAAGATCCAAAATCAGCTCAAATGATCTAGAAATATAAAGCCCAATGGTTGAGCCTACTTTCAAAATTTTTCTTAGTAGTAACTGTCCTTAACATACTGTTACAATACAAATCCACAAACATTCTCATCTTGCTTTTGCCTCTAAATGTAAATAAGTATTTTAAAGTAAGAGAAGTTGAAGAGAGAATTGAGATAACTGTTGGGGTGAAGGAGTTTCAGCAGATACATACATGCCACATGTCCAGACAGGGCTAGCTTTAGGCAATGATAAGGCAGGCAGTCATTTAAGAAGGCAAAGTACACATGGATAGCACATTCATCAGCTACCAGCCTCCCCAGGTGGCTACAGGTGTGAAGTTAGAGCAAGTCTAACAGCTCCAATGACTGACAATCATAACTCTGCTGCCTATGTGACCTTTGCTCCTGCCCAAAAGATACTGCTGCAAAGTTGGGGAGCGATAGTGTGGAGAACTACAACCAATGTATCCTCTTCCACCTTCCCTCAGCCTGCTTCCCACCCTGCTGGAAGGAGAGACCGAGTACAACATTGCTTTAAGGTTTTTTTGTTTGCCTTGGAGGAAAAAATTCTACTAAAAATTCTATTACATTCTACTTTACTAACACTACTGTTAGCCTCAAGGCTTAGCTTAGAAATAAGAGATCTAGAATTAATAAATATAGGAAGACCATATTGCCAGTGGTCAGAACTGGTGTCATGCTCATAGAAGTTTGAGTCAGATCAGAAATATCAAGCTAAACATATGATGAGAGCAGAGAAGAAAACAAAGAGACAAAAGGTCCAGAAGGATGAGAGACTTGAGCATATAGTCAAGCACCTTTTGGGAAGACCAGTAGATTACTGGAGAGAAAAGCGGTATAGAATGTAAAATGATGAAGGACAGTGCAGGAAAGACTTTTGATCAGCGTATTCTTAAGTAAGCTGAAAAGCCAGAGTTAACATTTCAAAATTGGATGGAGGTAAGCTAGCACACATCAGCCAGATACCCGACAAAAACAGTACAGTTCAGGTACTTTCTAAAAGTTTTCTAAAAACACGGAAAGGGCCAAAGTTTTTAGAACATTTACAAAGCTTGTAAGTGAGAAAAATGGCTAAGAAACATGAACTGGCCATTTCAGATAGTTAAAGTCTACTATTCTAGCAATAATTTGAGATAAATGTTTTCCTAAAAACAGGAGGGCAGTAACATTATTTTGTGTGCAGTAACATTATTTGGACTTTTTGAGAGAGACAAGAAGTGGAATGACTCAATCTTTTCAATATTCATCTTTTGACCCTGGCACAATGTAAGTTTTGCAGTAGGTGCAGGATCCCAGAGCCACAGCCGTTACTAGCTCCCAGCTCTGCATGCGTTGGGACGCCAGCGTCCTGTCTCATCCTGTGCTGACACTTCAATCTCAGCACATGTGCATGCCTTCTGAGAATGTTCTGCCCAGGCATTTTCACCTGGCTACACTCAGGAAACTTGCCTCAGATTCCAGTCAGTTTTTAAAAGTGCTTTTAAGCTAGATTAGAAATCTGGAAAAGGTTTGGAGGGCTTGAATTCTCTTATTAAACTATCTTAAAGTTAGTTAGAAATTCTGGGAAAACCTTTTCTATACTGAAAGAGCATGTGAAACAGCTGTTCAGAATTTATGCAAACACCAATGCATATGTTAAAGCTTACTAACAGTTGGAGTAGCTCTTCCCCTCACCTAACACAATGCTAATACCTATTACTTATGCTGAAGCCTTTCTTCATGGAAAGTATTTGTATTTTAATAATTGTGTCAGGGCAAAGTGTTCAGGTGCACTGGTGAAGATTAAAATGAGAGTCATTCTATGATACTTAAGATATTCACACATTAACAGTAGGACTTGCCTCCAATTGAGAGACAAAATTTACTAGGGGCAGAATAGCATAGCTTTTTTGACACCGATGTCTCTCTTCTCCAAAATCTTCATTTTCTAAAAAACAAATCACAGAATCTGGAGATCATCTAGTCCAACTGCTCCCCTGCTCATAGCACAGTCAGTTAAAGCAGGTTGCTCAGGTACGTGTCTAATTGGGTTTTGAACATCTCCAAGGACGGAAACTCCAGAACCTCTCTGGGCAATCTGTTCCAAATACATTAAAGCCTTCTGGATACAATCTTCACAACCACGATCTCAGAAATGTGAGTTTTCTTTACTAATATTACTAACATACAGATGTCTATGCAAGTTTACCAAGGCCAAAATTATTCAGGAGTCTGACCACCACCACATTAGAACAGGGTGTTAATTGAAGTATCTGACAAACAGTCAGCCTTCAAGGTCAAGCAGTTAACTATTCAGATATGCAGTTCCAGACCAGCACAATCTACCAGGAGGAGCAGTCTGTGCTATGGGTTGGTAGATTGGAGGAGTCAGAACCTGGACTGTAACAGGCTTTACAGATCTATGCCGGTATACTATAAAGCTCAAAAGACCCCAGGGAAGTCAGAAGCTGTATGGATGTAATCAGAAAGCCTGAAATGTCTTGTGAATACTGTTAGCATTTTACCTTGTGAATACTGTATCATTTTGACAACTCATGCCGAAGAAGTTGATTTTGTGAACAGAGCCCAGAGGATACTCTGTCCTCTGCCCTCCCTTTCTTTTCCCATTATTCTGCATGCATGACATTTATCCTCTGTTGCACGCTGTACATCTTCAGCTGGGATAAATATTCTCAAATATAGTTTAGTCAGATCTCATTGTGTATGTTGTTATATATGCACATATTCCCCAACCTAGAGTTAAAGGAATAAAATGGATAATTATTTTTTTCCCATCCACGTAATTACGTCCGTTTCCTATCAAATCTCATTACATAGCTTGGTGTTCCTAAGTGATGGTTGGTGATGACATAACCCTACAGACTAAAGTTTTTCCATTCTGATACGTGAGTGCGTTGTGATCCGTGACAGTAAGCTAAACTGTTTGGGAACCAGTAATATAAAAATACTGAATATTAATTCTTATACAGCAAAGACTAATTAGTATAGTTTTGTGAACTCTCCTCAGAAATGCACCACTAAATGCAAATTATAGAAACTAAATTATCAGCTCTGGATTTAATTTATTAACCCCTGCACTTCAATTTGACTTACCAGTCAAAAAACCAAAACACCCCCCAAACTCCCACAACCTGCCCTTTTTAGTTTTGTTTGAAATCAGAAGATTGTGCATTATCCGTGACATACACTGAATTTGACAAAAGTCTAACACTAATTAAATACTTAATTCTTATAAAAACCACAAGTAATGCTGAGTCACTTTCTCATATATGGCCCTGCAATCATAAAGTTCTTCAAGGTAGAACCTGATTAGATGAATGGTAGTACTCATGTAAATAGTTTGAGCCAGCGTCCCCCAAAGCTCTAGTGGGAATTACTTCATAATTGTAACCAATAACAAAATGTTTGCAAACGCCAGAGGCAAATGAAATCCAATTTAGAATAATCCATCTTAAATCCTGACCACAGACCTTTCAAAATATCAAGTCCTACAGATTTCTGCAGCTTCATCTTCCACTCCATTTTTCTTCATGAACAAATTAAGTTTTCCTTGCCTTCTTGGTGTTTACCTGATTCTTTAACTTACACAAAGCTCAAAATAATATTCAGACATACACATCTTTGGGGTGGGGTAGGGTAGGAGCTGGTAGAAGATGTGTTAGATAGCTAATGAAAACCTAAACAAACATGATTTATATAAAGGAATCTTGACAACTCTGGGCTCCTGACCCTCACGGCATGATGCCAAGGACATGTACTGCTGTACACACAAAGCAATCTGGTACAAGCACATTTTTGTATAAAACATTATAGTAGCTCTTAAAAAAGGGTGCTTACAATGCAAGATGCAGGTCCTTGAAGGTAATGCAATGTTTATGTTTGACTGATCTTAAAATCATAAAATGATCTAATTAACATCTTATCCAATAAGCAAGCAGCATACGATTTGAAAAAGATTACCCATATTTACATCTTTTTAGTCTGTTCTTGAGCCACAATATTTACTTTCATATGCACTGTTTGGAGTAATCCCAACACAGAATGGAAAAACATGTCAATGTTTCATTTCAAGACAGTTTTAATCAGGTAATTACAGGAAAAAACATTGAAACAAGTTTGTTTGTTTTTTTTTAAATGGTATTATCTTCTATGTCAACTTACAAGGATATGATGTAATAAACCAGTTACAAACGTAGAGGCATATTTACATTATATACTCAAAGTAACAAGCTATATTCTTATACATAAAGGAAACATCTATGGGATGAGTTAACTAAATTATACATCATTTAGTAGAAAGAAATAGCAGTAGAGGTTTTAATGGAAACAATATACACGTGAGGCACTTTGAGGTCGTTAGGGTGGAAAGCAAATGACACCAAGCAAAAGAAGAAAAATTATGTACAGATTATACTGCAACTTCAAACACAAAGGCGGCTTCTTCACGGAATGCTTTGACTTCTTAAACTAACCACAACTTTTGCAATTAAGGAAAGGAAGCTTTCAGGGGAAGGAAAAAAAAAAGCTTATATTTATTAGTGCACCAAAGGAAATTGAAGTTTTAACCACTCAGCTGCTGGACTAACAGAGTACCATAAGGCATGTTTTAAAAATTATTATTTTGCTGCCCACCTCTGCCTTGATCTTCATGTTATTAATACCAATGTCTCACTGTACTGGCCATGTACAGTGCCATTAGCTCTGGAAAAATTTACAGTCTGATTTAAAAACTATGCGTTATTTACATGGGAGTTCAACATTATCCTCCAGGCACACATGGACAGATCATCCAAGAGAACACATCTGAAATGACAATGGTATATTCCAACATGCAAAATGAAGACTTTCTTCAGAGCACCTTTGTTCGCTTACAAGGAAATTGCATCAGTTAAGCCTGTTTGGAACATCCCTCACATGAGCTCTGGAAAGGAATTTGAGTTTTATGCCATTATTTACTGCTGCTTATTAAACAGTTACTATGGTAACTGTAGGTTACTGTCAGAATATTGCTTTACTCTTGCACGCAGCTGCAGCCATACCCCTTCACAATGGCCAGACTGCATGTGCAGGTGCACACACACACACACACCTGTGCACATTCAAATTGGAGCTGTATCACACACCAAAAAGCTAGAGTCCTTCTGCGCAAGTATCAATACTTCACTCTTTTGCTATTGGAAAGAACTTTAAGAGAAAAATATTTCTTATAAGTCCAGTGACATACTCAAAAGACTTTTCATTTCTGATTTTCTATACTTTTGTGTAATAGGCCATTGTACAGTTTTAAGCCTAACAAAGCCTATGAGTAAAACATTTTTACTTTCAATTAACATGAACATTTAAGAGGTATAATAAAGAGTCACTGTAAAAGTCTGAATTACTTTTGGTAAATTCATAGCTAATATATTTTTGTAGCTTAAGTGCTACCGCACCTTTAGCCTGTTAAATAAATTACTGTGTAATCCAAGACTATGCCTGAGTGAAGCCTGAGTGTTTTTTTCTCTCCAGTAGATGGTGCACGAGCACTACCACTGATCTACTTCCCTCACTTCCTTTCAAGGGGAAATACTTAATTTTCATGGTAACTGTGGCTTTCAATAAACTAGGGAATTAACATTCAGCGACGGTTTCCCAAAGCTTGGGTCTCCCCTTCGAGCAACACAAAGCTCTGCTACTACATGCCTGAAAAACTGCAGTTCTGACATTTGGTGAGAGGGGGAGGAATCCGAGAAGGTATTTCTCTTCTTCCTTCCTAATGCTTAAGACAGTATTTCGGAAGAGACAGAGAATAAATTTTGCTTGCTTTTAAAAACAGAAGATGCAAGCATGTACGAGCCAGTTCTACTACAGCGTTGCTTTATGTCCATTTTTCATTACTCACCTCATAACTGCAAAAGCAGGTAAGATTCCTAAAAAACAGAGTATGTGTGCATCCTACTAAACAACCCTTATGTAACTATGTATCATTGCAGTTCTTTAGCTAAACTCAAATTGGGCATGCAGACTGAAAGTCCCTTCACAAGAAGAAAAAGGGAGCATATGTCATTTCATTAACATTTTTAGACAGATCAAGTCTTTAGAGAGTAACACAAAAGATAAAGACAACATTTTAGCAGCAAAGTGGTTAAATGCAGATTGAAAATATTAATGCACACATTCAATAAAAATATTAAAGCATATATATTGCATATAAAATACAGTACAGGACCAGGAGTTTCACTATTTTGTATAGTGCTCTGAGGAAATTGTTAAACTCATTTCTTTCTGAAGTATATACAAACAATATGATTCTACAGCATTTTCCTATACAGCCAGCAAGTTCTTTTCTTAGGTTGTTCACATCTATCTTCATCTTGAATTATGAACCTAGCACTTACAAATATTAAAATTCTTTCATTCACAAGAAAAAAACATTCCCATTTCACCGAAGTTGTTTTTAAAGTTAACAGTCTATTCTAGGCAACTAAGTTTAGCTGAAAATGTGTGAAGCACGAAAATCAACCAGAGTAGCAGCTTGCAAATATATAAATGGTAAAAACCAAGACTGCTGCTACAGCGTCATATTCTTGGACTTAATTCATTCAATTAACTTTTAGTACAAAACTAGAAGCTCTTTCGTAACTTCTACAGTTATCAATATATTTGTCTTCTTTTCAATGTGAAATAATACTTTGAGATGATCTATGTACACAATGTGGTCAATTCAAGCTGTAATATAAATATAAATGTTTTCTTTTAAAAAGTATTTTACAGACAGATGTTATATACATTTGCTCATTTTACTCCTGGACTACAGAGAAGAGTTAAAGGCGTTGATACATGCAGAAAGAAAAATTACACAAAATATACTGAAAAAATGCATAGGAAATGAGAAAAGTCATGTGCATCTTTTAAAATCAATTAGTTTTTTTGTTTGTTTAATAACAAGGGTATAGTGAGAACAATCTGTCCCACTCCAGCCAGGATACCAAATAGGCACTTTCCTTAATGAATGAATTGCTATCTATATTAAGAGTTGTCTATATCTTTAACGAGAAGTAAATGTTTCTTACTTCATGAAATAGCAAAGCATATAACGTTTTAAAAAAATTCGCTAGGGATTAATCTGTTAATTCTTATCTGAAAATTAAACATTTAGTAAATGCAAAGTTATACCAAATACACAATAGAACATACCACACACACGCAGACAGACGCGCACGTTCACTCTCTCTCTCTCCCCCCCCAACCTCCCTCCAAATTCACTCAGTGAGGAAGTTCACTCCAGTTTGGCCTGAGCTGTAATTTATTTCTCAAGCTAAGTCTTTTGCTGTTGCTTTCAAACTAAAAAGATAATCCCACAGTAATTTTGTTCTTGCCCATTCAAATAAGAAAAGGTTGCAGTTCAAAATAATGAAAACAATTTCACTTTTGTTATTAATCTTTCATTTTAATCATAGTACTTGATAAACAGCTGAACAGGATCCTAGTTTAACAGAAGGATAAACAAGAACACTGATGACAACTTGTTACAACTGCCTTAATGTACCTTTTGCTTAATGAACATTTGTATATGTAATAAAGTATTTTTGGAGGACACCCCAAAAGAAAACAACTTGCTGGTTGAGCAACAGAAACAACTTCCTTTTTGCTATTAGGTTTAAATCAAAGTCATTTATATATAAAAATAAATGTTATGTTCTAACAAGAACATTTTAGACAATTACATCTGTGCTTAACAAAAAAAATATTGGTCACTCAGGACTAGAATAATTAATATTTTAAAGGTTTTTAGATTATCAGAATGTATGGATACAACTCAACACAAACTGTAGCTGAAGGGAAACGGGACTGAAAATATCAATTTGTCCACCCGGAATAAAAATGCAACTAAAAACTAATTAAATATTTAAAATACTATCATGGAATGTGACAGTAGATATGGTCCATACCTACTACAACAGAGGGAAGGAAAGTTTAACATGTAATAATTCGTACCTTACACATTTAGTTAAATATAAACATTTGTTATTTATACATAAAGTTGCTTCCAAAAAACTATTAATAAGTGATTTAGTTGCACTTAAAATCAGTTTCATTTCTCATTTGCCAAGTATTAACTTTTCTTAATCTTAAATCAACTGCCGCTAGTGCACTTTTAGTTAACATTTCCCCTCAGATAAGTTTTAATCCTTCTTAAAAGAGCCCCTTCACCTAAACCATGAATGTACAAAGTGGCAAAAGTTAATCCCTTTTAGTATAATCGTAATTCATATACTCATTTTATAGCCAATAATAAGAATAGGCTTTCTTTGCAAAAACTCCTTCCCAACCTGCAACAAACGCCATGCACTTAAAGGAAATAGTTAGGCATGGCTAGCACTTGTAAAATGCCAAGGTCTGACAAGTCTTGTTGCTTCTTCCACATCAAGCATCTCTTACATGAGAGACGATTCCCTTCAGCTTGCCAAAAAAGCTTTCACAAATCCAAGTTAGATGCTTCCTGGAAACAAAGATTTTCAGCTCTGTTTGGCCCAAGACTGATTCATCCCGCAGCTTTATGCTTTCCTCCACAGCACCCACATACCTCACCACAGTGATGGCATGCTCTCAAGGGGAGGTAGCAGCACATACATGGAGCAATGAATGACAGTGCTACCAGTGCTAACCAGCGTAAGCAGAACTTGTCATCACTAGTGTCACAGGAGCAAGGATCAGAAAAATCTCCTTCAGAGTCTGACATGCAGTGATACAGCATGCTCTCTGCACAAAGCATGCAACTAACTTGGTAGATACATCTTTTAATAGGATCCGGAGCATCTTGACATTTTCCTCTGCCATTATCTTCATGATTAAACCTTTCCTGGCAGTATATACAGCGGGAACGCTCACCATCCTCTTTTCTTCTTTTTGAGTTTTTAAATTTTGATGAGGAAGGCTGAGTTTTAAATACCACAGAACCCTTTGAGTCTTTCAGGGAATTCAGCTTAGTTCCATCCCCACATGGGTATAAATAGTCAGATTTTTTATTGTCTGATTTAGAAAATGGTATATTTGAGTCTGCATCATCCCTCTCCAGGTCATTCTTCCACATGTCAGGATGCCTGTAGTCTGCATAACGACGTATCAAAATATCACGAGGGTTTATTCTAACAATTTCATCTTCATCCTGAAAACTAACATGTCTGATTGACTTCAATGGGACCTGAAATAGCAAAGCAAGATAAATTTACTATAGTAAAGTCCCAAATTTATAATCTATGTACACAGTAGAAATCAGAGTGCAGAATTTGTCCTTACTGTTTGAAGCTAATATTTTTAGCTTATTTTGTAACTTGTACAATTTACAAAAGCCCATGACTAGGTGTCCCTTTGCACGACATTAGCACCCTGAGGTTTCATATTCCTTTCCAGTATCTCTCATAAGAACTCTGGGTATTTTGGTATCCACATAAAACTTGATGCTCAAATTTGGGGTTTTCACATCTTACCGTGGCAATGAATTCCATACACCAATTTTGATTTTCAACTTCAGTGACAATACGCTGCGTTAGGATTAACTCCCTGATTCATTCCCTTAGAGTTACTCATGTTTAAGTGCCCTCTAGGGCACTTCTCTCAATAAGATTTCCATAGCCTTTATTCCCAATGCAAGTTTTCAAATTCTCTTCAATTTTGCAACAATAGTTCTGAGGATGAGTAACCAGTATTGAACACTAATCTAGACGAGGTTTTTTCCATACGAAGAGTAGTGTTCTGTAAAGTTCAATGGTATGATCAGTTACAGTAGTTTCTAAACATATCTCACCCTTAGCTAACGTACAGTATTTAACTTAAATGAGTTAGCTTAGGACACCATCAGGCAAATGGGCAAGCACTTGTTAAATTCTCTTCTTGTAATGAACTGACCATAAGACTTTCAACTTAAAAGGCAAGTAAGAAGAAATAGGCTAAACACATACAAAACAAACAGCACAGAGTTAAGATAGAGCTCGATTGTTCTGCCTCATTATGAAAAGGCATGGGGGCATGAAATAAAGTTTTTGAAGGTGGAAAATTTGAAACATCCAAACTGAACTATTATGGAACTCATAACCACGTGCAAGATAGGGGACTGCAAGTGAACGCAGACTGTGGAACACGTGGCAGTGGTGAAAAGCGTCAAGTATAAATCGGCAACAGTCACAACATAGCAATGAACGTTACCGAAATCACATTACAGATGACTTTTAAGAAGGGGGGGGCAAATAATGACATGATAAAAATTTGGCACCTGTATGGAAGGAGCTCCTCATAAATAGCAGGTAGTGCGCAGCAAAAAACCAAAAATCTCAGTGTGTGCCAATATTCCTACCTTACAGATAGACAATTACTTTCCCAAACTGCAGGGCTATTATAATGGGAGCTGGAATATAACTGAGCTTCAAGTCAAATTCCACCTTTTGCTACTGTCAAATGCAGTCTGCCAACCATCTCACAGAAAAGACTGAAAAGCAATCCCTAACCCACTAGCCTTACAGATTCTCCCGGAATCATGAATGACTTGGGAAGACATCTTGGCCTCTGTGTCATTGCTAAGAGTATTTACTTTGTCAGTACTGATCCAGCTAATGAGAATTAAGATCTCTGTTAAGGAGAACAGTTGAACTACATGTGCCTAATCTGTTGCAATGTGAAACTAAGCGCTATTGAAGATGATGGTTTAAGTAAACACATTTTATTTCACTTTGGATGTGCTCCTACTACATTGAAATTAGGAGGCAGAGGAGAGCTAACCTCCAGCTGTGGAAGGGGGAGGAATAGCTTCTTAAAACATGCCAACTTCTGATTACGTAAAAATATCTGTAGTGTGTTCTAACCATGGCTTCGCTGCTTGGTAATCCGTGTGTGATACATTTTCAGTACAGAATTGTAATTAGACCTGCTTTGCCCTGGGAGTTTCAGTTGGAGTATGCTAACAAGAACAACCTTTTCTTGGCTCCAACCTACATAGTTGGACTTCCACAAAGTCCAGAGGATACAGTGTGGAGAAAGGATGTATCCGATCCAGCTAACAGCACTAATCTTCCATATTTATCAGGCTCTGATGGGGAAGCATTTAGGCCCCCTTTTTGCTTATGAAGCCAGAGTGCCTTTAAATGCTACTGTTTTCAAACAGAGAAATGATCCATTGTTTCAGCATCAACAATTAGCCATGGATTATTGCATTTTTTGAACTGTTTAACAGCATAAATTTAAGGAAAGAACAGTTTTTAAAATGTCATTATGTTTCCATGCGTTACAGGCATAAAGGTTCCTCACCCCATTGTCCACACAGAATCCTAAACATGCATTTAATGCATTACATAAATCCCCTCGTTAAGAAAAAAACCAAACCTCAGACCAAAAAACCCACTCTCCAGCTCTGATCCCCCAGAGAGCTAATAGACATTAAAGAACACTATAAACACTAATAACTGTAAAATGTGACCTCTCCTCAGTCCTTGAATGCTTTTTATTTAAGGACAACAATGCATACATAGAACTCATTGCTTTTTTTCAAATCCGCAGTCAACCACCTTCTAAAAAGTTTAAAGGTCGACATGTTAAAAAAGATGGCAGCATTCCATGCATGTGTGTGTCATGTTAAGAAATCAGTCATAAAGAAAACAAAGGGGAAAATATTAAAAACAAGCCAACAGGAGAAGTGTTGAAATCAAAAGCTTTATTTATAAAGTGTTAACATCTTGGGTATTTCATAGAACCTATATGAAAGCATGAGGTACATGAAACCTTCAGAATAATACACAACCCAGATTCAGTTAGGTACAAATATCAAGAAAATTCAACAAAAAGAATGCACATAGTCCTCTGGTCATCCAAAATTATAACACAGTCTAGTTATTCAGCCTAAGTAAAAAGAACAGTCTCTGTGCTGGAGCAGAAGTGAGGAAGAATACTGTACCAAATTGAAATTCCAGAGAATCTCATTACAAACATAATTAGCGAACTGGAAATTTGGCAGTAAATTTTTGTTGACGTGGTTGAACTTGCACCTCACTTGAATGGGAGCGCCTTTAAACAAGGCATGGGCATTCACTTAGTATGCTACTGTCTCCCCTCAAATAAATGGGTGCACCCAGCTCTGCTTAACTCACAGCTCCACAATATGAGGACAACGGCAGGTGAACATAACATTGCAAAGTATTAAAATTAACTTAAGCACACATCAGTTCATTAGAAGCAGAATATCTGAGGGACTTGGGTATGTTTTAATAACTTACAGTATTAAAAGTAAGGATTTGAACTGTCATTAATCCCTTCTTTATCTTAAGTTGAGCATATATTTGTTGTGCAATTCAAGTAATGAGCACAGTAAGAGTGTTCAAACCTATTTATAAATCATTAGAATAAAACTGGCATTTACCTCAAAATCTGCTATGCCACATGGTCACACACTTGGAGCTCAGCAGAGATAACAGTGCGTACATATAGGGAATGTGAGATTTTGTTGATTTGCTTATGTCTAAATATACACCAGACAACTATGCAAAAAGGATAGAAGTGTCGAATGCAGTTGGTGCTGCAATACGAAAAAAAAAATTTTTTTAAAGCACTTGATATCTACTTAAATCTCCGTGGAATCTCCTTTAACGTCAGTATACAGGAAGGGAATTCTAGTACTCTTCATTTTAAAGGAAGTTCTTCTACTTACTTTATAACAGACTGGCAGTGCCCGGTATACTACAACTCAAATTACCATTTCCTCTGTGGCCAATTTTATATACGCTTTTAAAACATACAGGCAGTTTAGGCTACTGTGCTTTTTCTTAGAACTCGATGAACATCAGGAGCACATACGCCATTGGTTACTGTAGCTGAGCAGGTAAGTGTTACCCGCAATACCCTAATCACCCACCTACTCTTATCCTAAAAAATTATTTAACTCTCTTTGCAACTAAATGGGAAGAGAGGGGAACACGTATCTCCTGACAAACAGAACAAAAAAGAGAAAAATAGTTAAGTGACTTATACAAAAAGATAGTTGGAGGAGATCCACAATTAAAATTCAGAACTGCATAATTTCAAGCCTTTTGGTTAGCTTTCCAGATAACGGTTTGCTGTTTTCGCACAATAGAGCGGTTACAAAGTAGCTGATGCAAGACTTCAATAGGATCCTATCTTTACAAGAACTACCTAGGGTATTACAAGCTTTATTTCAAGGGGCACACATATTTTCTGATGACACGTACACAGCTACTTCAACTTGCACTCTCCTTTGACTTGTGGCTTTAGGCCTATTTTACCAAAACTGTCAGTTCTTTAATGCTCAGAAGAAAGCAAAATGTATATTGTTAAAGAAAAAGCTTTACTGTTAAGTTTCCAATCTGATGTAGATATGACCTCTTTTGAAAAGTGTCAGTACACTGGCCTTCCTCATGTTAATATTCTTTTCCTCTTTACAAATCTGTTCAATAACAGTTTAATATCTTTCATGCATAACTGATATGCAGCTTCCCTTTCTGTACCAAAATATTATATTTTAGTTTAATAGGCAGTTAGAAACCATAAACAATGTTTCACTGAAAATATTTAGCAGAAGCACCCCCCTGCATAGTGCATCCAAAATATCCATTTTGAAGATACACTTCAATATTTCTAATCAGAACAATTTTAATATACATGTAATTGAAACCGAGTCCGTGGCCAATTTACATTTTCTAAGCAAATGTAAATGGTTTCTCAAAGTTGCAAATACAGAAATCCGACTTCTTCAAAGAAAGTAAAAGACTTATGTAGTCTGCTGCACTAGAGCACAAGCAAATCCTTTCACAAAGCTTTACCTCTGCTGCAATAATGCTTGAATATTTCGGCTGCAAAGCACGTATTGATCATTTCAAGAAGCTGAGAGTATAGTGCTACAAACAGGGACTTATAATGAAAGCGCTCTTTTGTCAGAAACTAAACGTTGAGCAACTAACACAGTAAGCAAAAATCAGAACTGCTTCTTTTATTAGTAGTCTTACCTGATTAGGTTGGCTAGGAAAACAGGCTCTCCTTGAGTTGAAATCCTCAAATGTTGAAGGCCTTAAATTTGAACTGTTGTAAGGTTCACTGGTTACTACAGTTTCATGTTGGAAAAGGTGATCTTTCATTAATGAACTCGAAGTATTTTCTTGAGTAGCCTAGAACACATAAGAACTTGGCTTTATCCTTGAAATGATTTTTGCATTTACACGAAACCTGTACCAAAAATCAAGTTCATATAGAAACGCATTAATTTTCAACACGATGTGTCAGTGGCATTTATAGACGCAAATACTTTAAAAAGTGGCTCCTTTTCTATGAGTCAGCCTTAGAAAACACGAGTTCATTCTCTGCGGAGCACATACAACTCACGCCTTAGAGACACAGGCCTTTATAGCTCACTCACTCACCAAATCAGACATAAGAAACCTCATTAAGGAGCAAGAGGTTAACCCAGTCTCTAAAATTACACTCTTCAACTGTCCATGAAGATACTTGCCCACAAGCCTTACCCATGGGTAAGACTTGCAACATCTTACACTGTCTTCTGTCCCTGCAGGTGACTCAAAGGTGCGCACACACACACTCTCTTTCCTCGGTAGTCAAGAGGGACACCATCTGATAAAGGACACGGGCACCGAACACCTACCACAGCGTTAACTATCAATGTCAGATACCAATGTATAAATGTAAACCTCAGTCTTAAATAAGCCTTTGTGCCATATATACACCAATTATAAAGGAAAGCTTTTATAAAATTCCATCACAGATATCACAATTGAAGCCAATCAACTTACTCCAAGAACAGATTTGGGGTTGTCAAGACAGAGAAATGTATTTGACCTTTGTAAGACAAGAACTCAGTGACAACTGCTTTAAAAGAAAAATATTCAGCTTACCAACCTAGATATTACAGATAAACGGATGCAGCCTAATTTCTCCCATTTAAAAAGAGAAAAAGTAGAAAAGAACAAGAGTTCATTTAATACCTTATTTAGCCTACAAATATTCATTATTCAGAGCTACAGCCATGTCGAATGAATATCCTAAACTCTGTATTTTTAATTGACCTAATAGTTTAGAAACAGCCAAACCACATTTATTAGTATCAAAAAGGCTTTCTTTGGACAGACACTTCCTACTCCAATGTCACATTTCATGACAAGGTTATAAACACCTCAAAAATCCGTATTTATAATGGAAATACTGACAATCAAAAGGGAGAGGCCCTAGAAACAAAACTACTATTGTATTAAAACTGCTTTTAAGTAAAAAGCGCACATGTACATTTTTCCACAAGAACTAAGCTTTATGTATTAAATATACAGAATATTACACACAAACACAAATGCACACATTTCCCTTTTCTACTGTCCAAAGCAATTACACCGCCCACATTCAATATCCTTTAACCACAGCCTGCAAAGTACAGCACTGGCATAGGTTACTTTACAGATGATACTGAATAACCTACGCCAGTTTTTAATGCACAACGGAAATCTGGTTTGGTCCCAGCTGCTGGTATAATAATTACTGTCCTATGGTTGCTAAGAGATACTTTGACTTTTTTTCCAAGACTACTAAAACATTTCTGTGCGCGCAGGCAAAAGGATGCTGGGTAAAGCAATAAAATGACTCCAGCTGTAGCTCTCCAGCAGAATTCAAAGCCAGATGACAGCTGTAGAGAAAATGAAAACCAGACTGAGCTTCTCTTCTTCAAATTTTCTCTCCTCACTTCTCCCCTTCTCCCAGTTTGCCAGAGTTAAATCTGGGAGAGAATTCAACATTGTTCTGCAAACACTGTTAAAAATGTTCTGCTGCAAGTTGAATGATTACACAGAAGGATGGATGAGAGACTACATTTCCGTTGCATCCCAATTCTTGTATTTATTTCCCATGTGGCCTCAAATTCTGCTGTTTGATGTTAACCAACACAAGAAGAGCTTGTTTTTTTCTCCTCCCACTTATTTTTTTTGATTGTGAATAAACAATATAGGTTTCAAAAACATTTAAGTATCCTCCTTCTGTTTTAGCTATTTCTAAGACTGATGGAGCAATTGCTTTCAGATTTGGCAAAGAACTTCTATTATAATCAAGTATGTAATTCTGACATGGCCTGAAATATTACCCAGATTAGTCTGAATGTTTTATACAGTTCAAAGGAAAAAATAAGGCTTTTCACAGGCTTATGACTGCTTCCAAAGTTGTTCTACCTGAATATATAAAGAACATCAGAGGTGATTAGGGATTCCAAAGAGGAAACTAGTGAAATAAAACAGAAAGCGTAAGTCTGTTGAAGTAAACAAAGAGAGAGGGGGAGATGTAAACAGCCTGTTATAGATAGTGATGAAGAAGAAAAAACAAACTTCATTTTTGAATACTACTCCACCAAAAAGCCTAATAAATCTTATAGAATTTCAGTGCATATATTAGATTTTAAATAGTAATATAAATTAGTATTACTTCTATTTTTAGGAACCACACAGTTAATTTATGTGTACTACCTATTGTTAATCTTTTGTGCTTCACCACATAGTGCTTCTTCCTCTGTGCAAGCAATACAGTGTTACGGGTAACACAAGTCATAACGTCAATTTTTTTTTTTTTTGTTAATAAAACTCGGGCAAAGCTTCATTTGTACACAAAATAAATTGAACTCTCACTAAAGAGCATAAAAGCAAAAAGGCACACGAACTGTTTACATCCTCCTTGCCTGCACCAAAACCACATAAGGCAGCGTGTTTAAGTTGTAGGCCTTTCCCCCTTCATTTTGGCAAAAACCCAGCCACACAGATTTACCTCTAGGAAAAAATCTTGATTTTTTTTTTTTAAAAACATTTTCCAGTTAAGCTAGATCAGTTCTACAGCACAAAGTTTATATTTGGTAACAGAAAAAGCTGAGCTAATATTTGAACAAACAAGCAAACTGAATTAAACAAGCTGCTTGTCTGCTGCACCAGAACTCCTGTTTTTATACCAAAAAATCCAAACTTCCTACCAAAACAAATTCCCAGTATACAACCCCATATAGATAAATATATAGGCATATATATTCCCAATATCATTTACAAACATTGTAGGTAGGTAGTTAGCTCTGTTTATGCATTTCTATTTCAAATTAATGTAGGAAAACTAAGGGGTATTTAACGACATGAGCAATTTGCATGTAGTTGGTTCATTTAACAACTTACTGTAACTTTAATCATTCAAGCAACCTTTAAGAGCAACTATGAACACCCTTCAATGTTGTTTTGTTAATATTAAGATCTTGTCATTATTTTTGAGTAATTGAGCATCTAAAGAAACTACAGCAAAGCTATGTCTTCTGAAAATGACACACGTGATCCTCAGCAAGAAGGATGCTTTCTTTGTGAGATTCTATTTAAAGAATATAAACAAATCTAGTGACCCAAGATAAAATATTATGAGCAAAATACTAGCCTAGAAAGCACAAGATTAGTTTGATTTTTGGATTTGCCTTTAAAATATTGCAAAGGCATCTTGGGCAACTGCTGTGTTTCAATATGCTACGTTTATGAAACCTGATAATACTTTTGACAGGTAGGCCTTGAGGTGCAACAGCAATGTGCCTAACTGTAGATCAGAAGGCTGTGTGTTCAGATATTACTTGGATCATTTTATTTGCTCTCTGTCACACAGAGTATAACCAGCCAGTAGAATAATTTATGAAGCATGTCTTGCTTTCTTCATTGCTAATCATCTTGATTTTGAAAACCAGACAATTGTTAATCAAGTTTATGTACACAGTACCTACTATATTCATACTTCAGATGTATGCAGTAAAGAGGATTCCTGTTGTGTAAGATGCTTAGAACAGCATAGGCAAAATACTCTGATGACATATGATGTAACTAACAAGGATTTATTAAAATTAATGTCTTCAGACATACCCTGACAACATCTTGAGGACTTTATCTACCATACTAACTAATGAATCAAGAAAAGAAACTGAATAATTCTGATATATGTGATAGTAATTGCAGGGTACAGATAGAAATATAAGTACTTTAACAATCATGCCATGAAAAGTAAAGAAACTCTTCATTCTTTTTGATGTTCTACTATTTTAGCAAAAAAATATGGCTATTTAGTATTTTTATTAAACTACAAATTATGAGGATAAGCTCTACTGTTTGCTCATTTGTACATCATTGATCAAAAGTTATAAATGACAATTCTGGAAGATGTGTTATGATGAAACAATACTGTGTATGCGGGCAACTGGAACTTTTTTTATGCTGAAGTGTCAATCTCCTAACGCTCTACCCACTCACCAGAATGCCTATGCATATCTATGCATATATTGTGCATATATTCTAAAACTTTTAATAAGACACCATTAAAAATACTCCTAGAAACCTGGGAGAACATCTTATAGAATAAGCAAGAAAAAAAGGCATTAAAACTTTTAAATTATAGTGTGAGAAAAAAAAAGTCAATATGATTCTTCAAATACATAGCACAATAACTTTAAATAAAATGATTTTACTCTTTCAAATTAAAAATATTAGGACATCAAGTTCCACTTAAAACAGTGGATTAACCTTGGAAGGGGAACAGAATCAACTGTTTGGAGGAGAATATCTATTATTTTGCATTTCCAGAATATTGTTCTTAATGAGCAGACTTGTTGCCGGTAACTAAAATGATGTAGTATTTCTACATCCATACCTCTTCAATTATGGATTCGTTATTGATACATAAACCTTATTTAGATGAAGCGTGTCTAAAACAGGTGGCTTCGGCCTTCTTTGCATTACTCTTTCACCTCATATTCTAGTAGCAAGGCAATTCTAGTATCACATATTTTACTTTGTTATGCAGAGATACAGTAAGACAAATTGGCTAATTTCTGCCACTAGAAAACAGATAATTCTTGTCATCAATCCACAGTACAGATCCACAGCTAGACCATGTGCATTATGGTGAAGTCATTTAATATGTTTTGCTGTCCGGATTGTAACAGAATTAATTTAAACAGCAGTTTCATAACAGGATTGTTTGCATCTGTAAGTATATATAATATGTGATGTAAATTTATTTTTCTCCACTTTTCATCCAATAACAAAGTTTGCAAGTATAAAGAATCACAGATATTTACTTTAATTCTGGCACTCCTATATAGAAACATAACAACTTGGCAGCATAATCAAGAGGTAATTTGTTTCCTCTAATCTCATTAGGCTTGTAGAAATTGCTCAATTTTTGAAACATGCTTTATTGCAAGGATTAATACATCTTTTAAAAGTTGATTAAGGGTTGTGTTAAATTTTGCACACATTTTCTTCACTCTGTCAAAATCTCATGGCTATTTTATATCCACAAATATCCAATTTTCAAAGTAATTTTATTTTAAAGTGCCTTAAAATAAAGAACTGTAAATAAAGAACAACAGTTGGTTGTATAGTCAACACCTACACAAAGAGACAAATCTGTCCTATTCCATGAAGTGGAATAAATCAAGAGACTTCTGCATAGCCATTTCATTGCAGAATCCTTTCTAAATACTGTCAGTCCCATATCAGAATTTGATTCTTAACTATATCTTCAAAGCAGTCTGACAACTTTAGTGATTTTGTGTTGCAGAGGATTTAAGTTGCATATACTAGTATAGGAAATACAGAATCAAAATTTAATATTGCAAAATAACAAAAATCTTTCCCTCAAGAAATTGCATATCATCAGTTTTCTGAATATTCTCTAAAACCCAGAGCCAACCTGTTTCTATATAAGCTTCATATTAATTTAAATATCTGAACATCTGAAAAGGGAACTGAATGTGTGTAGGAATAAGGCCAAGATTTCCATGCAACTGTAAACAGGAAAAGAGATGACAAGCATGCATAGATGCAAGCATTTTTTTACTCAGTTATATACAGTAAAGAGCTACAGTGTAATTATGCATATTTGTTTGTTTTACTGTATTTTTAATTACATGGATTTTTTGATGTTACAGGGCGTTGCTATACATCAGTTCTATAATATTTGATATACTGTGTAAAGTATTATATACTTTGCAAGCCTTGAAAGAGGTAAGTTATTACCTCTAATGACATTATGGCCTATAACAACTTTAGTGTACATGCTTTTAGAAAATATCTGAACTTCTGTTGTGGTTTAGACTAGATTCTTCTAACCAATATCTCAGCATCTTTTCAGTTCCAGTCATATAGAGTAAGAAGTATATATCACTGCAGAGTGATTTCTACAAAAACAAATAGGATGTACACGTAAAAAATGAATGAGAGAGCACGCACGCGCACATGAGGGAGAGATCCATCTATTTTCATTCAGAAGAATATTTCATGTTCCCATGACTGCTATGAGGACACATAACCTATACCAGTCATTCTAAACTCAAAAATTAATCTTAGGATGGTTAATCATCCTTTTGATTAAATATTCACTACTAACTTTAGGGCAGATAGTATCATAAGTTTTCTAGATAAATCTTCTGGAACTTAGCTTATTTTACCTCATGAAACTTAAATTTGCTGCTGCTCTAATTTTGCTTATTCTTGATAACAAGAAATTGTTCAAAGATCTTCTTCCAAAAATAACTGCACAGTTAATACAAAAATTAAAATACTTACTTGAAAGCAGTCTTCTGCCACTTCAACATCATTTTGGGAGGGTGGGTAACCTACAGAGAAAGTTGAAAACACAGAATAATCAAAGTTCTTTTTATTTACCATTTACTGCTTCCAATACTCCACTCCATCCTTCAACATCCACCTAAGATAATATAAACAAACTTGTTCACTTTTTAAATTAGTGTGTGGATTATTATCTCATAACCTGATTTCACTACGTACCTTTCATTTCCACTTTCTGTATTATTCAGTATTTCTAGCCACATTCTTATTTGTCTTGTTCACATCTTTCTTGTAAAAGTATTTCCAAAGTGTTACCAAAAGTCAGAAGCAACGCAGCACGTTCTTATTAACGCATCGTTTTGCAAATTAAAGGTAGACACATTTTAGTTAGCATGAATGCATGCTGTGCGATATTTGTAAGCTAAAAAGATCAGCAGAAATTGGAGCTGTAAGACTACAAGAAAGAAAAAGAGTATGTGCTTGCATGTTCTCCAATTACTTCTCTCACAGGGATATGGATGGTGGTATCATCACAATTCAAAATAAGTCAATTTAGTATGACAAAAAGCATCTTCCTTCCAAAAACATGCTTCTCTTTTTGCTATTATTATAATGCACCTTAAAACCCCTAAACTCATAGCACATGAAACGGAATATTTTCTTCAAAACTCTCCCTTGTTTGAGTTGCTTTTTACAGGCCTGAAAGAAATGTTCTTCCTAGTCAATCAATACCTGTTCCCTTCCCTTCTTCCTCTTCCTTCTCCCCACCTAGCACAACTTTTATCTTATTTTTATCTCAAAATTGAGGCTTTTCAATATTCTTGCTTGTTCATTATTTTTCATGAGATCAGTGAAACTCTGGAAACAGCTAGCCACACTACTATTAGAGAAAATTTTTCAATCCCATGTAAATTTGTCCTCAGAACTACCTTGTCAGCTGTTAGTAAACAAGTCTATGAACTTTCATCAAAGCATGAGCAGACAAGCAGAGAACTATGGGCCTCAAATCACTCAACTTCATAGTTTATACTCTGAGAACAAGGTTCTGAGAGGATCTGGGTAAGGCTCGCTAGCTTCCTCCTTTTCCTCATGTCTAAAAAAGAGGTAATGCTTTGTTATGTAGGGATGTTCTGGGAATTACCTTACCAACGTCCATGAAACAATCTAAAACACTTGGGTGAAAGGTGCTTCAGAAATGCCAGAAGTACCATTTTAAAATCATCTGTTATAATTTCAATATGCTGTGGATCAATTCACATCTTTAAATACTGTCAGCATTAAATTGAAGTACTTTGCCTAGTTTTAACTCCTTTATAGACACACAACCCCTTCCCCCAACTCCTCCACCTGCATACATACCTTGAGAAATATCTTCTACAGCTCTCCGAATACCCCTGTCAAATGCTCTTGCATCAGCAGGACTCTGAAATGTGAGGCCAAACTTCTTGTCATCAATCTTCCAGTGGTAAAAAGTAGGAGTAACTTTGTTGTAAACGAGATCCTTCTTTAATGTGCATTCCAAGACCACCTTCCAGAAAATGAGAGGAGAAAAAGAGATCAGTGATTAATATATGCAATTTGAGAACCAAAGTTAGTCTTTGTGAATTACCTGAAAATATATATAAGAGCAGATAAAAGTCTCTGTCTTAAGTTTCTTCCTATTATGAGGATGCAATTTTAGCTTTGCTTCCGTTATGACCAATTCTTCGCTAACAGTTGCTGATATAGCAGCATGGGTTAGGGACACAACTCTTTTGCATATTCCTATATTGAGAGAGTATTTCTAACCTCAGAAGTCTATTGTACTTGCAGACCAGCACCTTTATCCATACAGATTTATTATCAGTTCAGCAAAGGAAATAAGCTGTACCTTGAAAAAATATTATTATGCTGATATCAAGGGTGACTATGTCACTTGGAGTTGTATTTGTATAACTATTCTACAAAACTGAGTGCTGAACTAAGACAGTTTCACTTCAGCTTTCTCCCAGAAAGACTACTGAAAAGAGAATACAGCAGAACTGTTTTAAACACCGAGAGCAATCAAAACTGAAAACTTCTTATATCCACAGCTCTCCGTACCTAATAAATATGCTTAAGTCTCATGTTCCTCTATAATTAAATTGGCAATTAGGAATAATACACAGAGATTATTTGGCTACCAAACCATTCGAGATATGAAACAAACACATTCAGTTATGAAGAAAATAAAGGGAAAAATCACAGTCTTCACACCATTCCCCCAGTTTAATTTGCTTAATATTTTAAATATATTTGCAAATTTAATTTACTGGTGAAAATTAGTACATAGTTGCACTGAATAATTGTTGATTAAAAAAAAAACAGGGCAAATAACAAAGTATGAGGGAACATGTATTCATGTACTCCTGTATCACTATATACTATTAAAAGCATTGCAAAACAACCTATTACTATCGGATTCTGAAAAATCTACATGGTCAGCTGAATTAGGAGTTTTAATATATTATTATTTCTATAATAATGAAATAAAAAAAATGTGAAAGTACATTAAGTATGCAACTTTTTTAAAGAGAAAATATAAAATCTCTTATGGCATCTGAAAAACAAAGGTTGATTTTAAACATGACCGAGAAAATTCTCCAAACTTAAAAGCAAAAAAAAATGCATGTGCTTATATTGCTCTTACGTAAGCTTCGTGCTCTTCCTCTCCCTTCCTTGTGCAAGTATTACATAGAGAAGGAGATTTTAGGCTGCTTTTCATTACCTATCTCCTGCCTCGCACCCAGCTGTTAACCATCTTCTCCAGAGTTTTACTGCTTTATGCATCCCTGTTATCCCTGTCTCAAGAGTGAAGGGCGTTCCTTCAACACACATGAATCCTTTCAGCATTAAAATCAGTTTTGATATTCTGCTCTGAGTTCCCTAAACAGTCAACAATATGCAACTGTCTGCAAAGAGGCACAGTAAGGAATCTATTTGCTGTAAATGCACAGAACAAGGTGCTGTGGCAACAAAAAACCACGACCAACAAAACTCATTCTCCAGTTCTAATTTGCATTAAATGACATACTCTGTTCCTTGTGTTGATTTTAAACTTTAAATCAAACTTGCTTGCTCCTAAAAAGGGCAGCAGTTCAAAATGAAGATTGCTCACATCAACACATTGTCTAGGTTTGCGAGCGCTTTTTTGGGGCCTCTGCTGCTTCAAACACTGACAATTTTGCCACTACGTTTTGCATGCAGTTTTACCCAAAACGTGAACAAGAGATGAGAAGTAATGCAACGCTGATTCTTATAGTACCTCCATGAACACCTGATCCCAAAAAGACTTAATCAAAGTCCATGCATGGATGTTTCCACCCATGGGAAAATGGAATGGAAGAATAAACAAAGCACAAGCTCTCTCTAAGACGACAAGTAAATCCATTTTAAGGAAAATCTCTTTTCTCTATAATTAGATACTTTAAACTGAAGATTCAAATCCAGATGATAAAAGCTGATGCAAGACAGTAGCACCAAAGATAAAGTACTGGACTAAAAACTGATAGGCTAGTGGTTATGATTTAAAAACAAATAAACAAACAAAACCCACACAAATACTAATAACATTATATAAAACAAACATCATTTCCTATACAACATCACAATTGCTTTTAGCTTGATTTAAAGGAATATCAAATTTTACAGGACAATTAATAACTGATTTGGCAGTTTAAAAAGCTATATGAAAACAGATCAACCAGTACAAGAGATATATGTGGTAAGTGCATTGAAAGGGAAAAACACTACAGCGTTCATTGTATCAAAATTATAGACACTATCACACATGTAAGAATCCATATGGGGGAGACTTTATGCCTGGCCCACCCAAGAGAAAACTCAAAACCAGAGCTCAAAATGAACCATGGGACATAAATCTACAAGAAACACAGCCTTCATTAGTTTGGATGACTCTGGAAATTTAAAAAAAAAAATCCCAAGGCATTTATATTTTCAAAAACTCCTTTGTGTGTATTTTGTAAAAACAATATTTTCCTGTTAAACATCAACGGTGTCAAAGGCTTTTTATGCCGAAGAAAGCAAACTATCACAGCAAGGGGGGGTGGGGTGGGGGGGAAGTATTCTAATCCACGTATCTCCAAATATAGCCTGGGAAAGGCAAATCAGTACAGTTATCAATATAGTTATTATTCTGAGCCTGCAGACATCCAGAACTCCAAAGCATTCTCAAAAGCGTAATTCTCTAAGCATACACAGGACTGTATCTATTTACTACTATTTAATTAAAAACCTTTTCTTAATATAGTTTCCAGCCTATCATTAAGTGCAAAGCTAACGATGTTATAATTACTCACAGAAGTATTTCTTTTCTATAAATTTTCCCACCTGGAAACACATTCCCACATTCTTGAAAGATATTAGAAACTATTTGCCTTGTGTAGACAAGACAAACCTGTTAAGTTCTAAATTTTAAACTAATTCACTTCCAAAACAAACACCTGAAAACAAAAATAAGGTGACTACATTTGTATCATTATCTAGGTCCTATTTTGGAAACAAATATAAAAAAGAGTAATCACATTTGATACAAATTTCTATTTTGATAACAGATCCCTTAATCGAGTGTTTCTATATCCTGGGACAAGATACTGTTTTACTAGTTTCCTGTGGTGCTTTCAAGAGCTTACAGCATCATATGTAGACAGAGACTCACAACTTATCATTGATCATCCAAACCTACAAACATACAAGCATTTGTTTTTTGATGAATATGCCTTTCCCACTTACAAACAAACAAAATCTATCTGCTCCACCCCTCAATACAAACCACTGTTTTCGCCAGTCTTGGGCCCAAGTTCCATGACCTGACTAAACTCATGCTACAGAGCTCCTGGCCCTAGTGCCACCAAAGCCCCCATGACCCTATGACATTTTGTGTGTGTGGGTGTGCATATATGTGTTTTTAATTCAAGAAGTAACATAACGTGAATGCTGTTCTGTAGCCCCTCAGAACAGGGAGCTGACTATGTGAAACAGAGGGCATGCCTTGCACGTCTTGTAGCGCGGCATAACACTGAATACAGGTGCTTAAGGGTATAAGGCCTCCTGAAATATTGTCATCTGTCGCGTTCACTGGGAACGGCCACGTGAGCACAATAGGTTTCAAACTAGGCCTGGGCATCACGTCAGGGACAGCTACTTGGAAATGGCCTAAAGTGGGTTAGGGAATGTGCTAACAATCAAGCAGTATGGACGATCAGCAGTCCAGCACTCAAATTCTCTCCTTTGGCCCATCTGTACTACTAAATAGAAGGGGCTAACGAGATTTACTAACATAACTAAAAATCAGTAAAATAGCACAAACTCAAGATACATTACTTTGTCTGACCTACTCTGACAATTTATTTACTCATCATCAGGGCACGCAATTGTACGCCACAGTGAAATAAGCTTTGCAGAAGTGATACTATCTTGGTGATATGGCTAAAAGTAATGCCAAGATACTTCTCCAAGTGACTCACCAATAACAGTGAGAGGTGACAGAGCCCAAATATTTTTTTTATTTTGAAGCAGACTAGCATTTGTCATAAACAAACCTAACTGGTCATAACAGTATTAGACAATCTTAATAGAATCGAGAAAGTACTAAAGTACGATTGGCAGTCTGCAAATTCAGGCATAACAACTGCTTTATACCATATCTATCCAAATATATAGAAAGACAGGCTTGAACTTTTATAAAGTGAACTGCTGTGACTCCCTCCAATTGCTTTGGGGAATTGGGTCTTATAATCTTATGAAAAAGGCCTGTAGAGCTACATGGAGAGGAATTGGATAAGAGAACTTTCAGGAAAACATATTTCTCAGCACAAATGGTATAAAGCTTTTATTCTGAACACTTTGGAAAAATCCATGTGGAAGATGTTCTGGAGAACCAGCAAGTACATATGAGCATCTCACGCCAACTAAAGAGGACAAGTGGCTGCATTTGCTAAAAACAAGGGCAAAGAAACTCCTACAAAAGAAGGGCAGAGAGGTTAAAGTTTGCGAGATTGGGACGCAGATGTCCCTTCAATTGTCTTTTCAACATATCAACTCAGACCTCAATGATTTAGGGGGACAAAAGGAGGTAGGAAGGCTGGAGACAGGTCACTTACAGGGACAAGGCCTTTCAAATACTCTAGATGCAGGCTTCATGCTGAAGTCACCAACAGGTTTATTTTTTACAGTAACCATTTCCAAAAAGTGGAGGAAAAAAAAAAAGGCTAGAGTCTTGTTAGCTTGTTTACTTATTTGTTGTAGGGAAATGAGGTATTTGCTGCTTCTAACATTTTTGAAATGTGTGTATGCATATATGCATATATAAAATACATATATATAACACATACACACCCTGTCTAATTTGTTATTAAAAATAGTGTGTGTTAGCCTATTAAAGAAACTGTAACATCTATTCTTAAAGAGCATTTACTAAAAGAGTTCTGTAAATTGCTAACAAAAAGTAAAAGGTTTCAATTTGAGGTACAGTCCCTGTTTAAGTTTTCATTTTCTATGAATTTATTTTATCACAGAATCACATGCTGCTTTCAAATTTAGTAAAAATTCTGACACAAGAACGATAATCCATCATTGACCAAGCTTTAAAGCCAATTCTAAGACTAACCTAGTAAATGAACTACTTTTAAGTCCTAAAAAAGCAGATTTTTAGAAGAGAATAGTGTTTCTATTCCATTTCAGGTTAGTATTTCTTCATTCAGTTAACTGCTCCTCGAAAGAGAGATTTCAACCTTTGACTTATTTGTTACCCCGATTGATGATTCAAAAGATACTAGTCGCTTTTTCAGTAAAAATTTGCATAGCAAAGGACTGGAGAAGATCATAAGGCAAAACAGAAAAGTCTATTAGATTTTTCATTCAAACAGGTAAAATTCAAAGTCTAAAAAACTCATAAGCTTGAGCCTAACGTATGTTTAACGCTGCTGATATTAAGACAGAATCGAGTCAGTGTAAACACAGACAAACAGAGCAGCAGACCTGACCAGGTTAGGATTGGGGTGTAATTGTTCCAAGCAGACTGGCTGGAGCCAGATCTAGGAAGGTGTGTATAATAAAGGAGGAAACGTGTAATTATGTCAAGGGTATTTTGTGAAGTGACTTACATTCCAACACAGATCTAAACAAGCTGAGTAAACTAGCAGTGAGCAGCCCCTCTCCTAAATTAATCCAATGGTGCTACCACTTTGACTTTCTTCTCAGATGACTAGGAAGCTTTTTCTTCAATCCCACCAGACATTTTAAATAAGTACTGTATATAATTTTGAAAGTTCTATACATTATTGAAGTTGATTTATAAGAGTGCTGATAGTAACATAATTCTCAGGAATATAAAGACTTCCTCCCTCCCCGCCATGGTCACTGCAATACGCAACTTCAATATTTTGATGCTCAGTCCCAAAGTATTTAATTTATAAGCCTGACTTACAGCCTGAAATCTATAGTCTTCAATTAAATGCCTAAATATCCTGTAAAATATATAGGGAGATTTGGCACTTCAGAGGGAATTGAAATTGGCGGTACTGCTGGAAGAAGCACTTGGATGAGAAGCTATTAAAAGACAGTTTACAAGAAACAATAAGACAAAAGATATCTCATTCCTTTTGAGTCTGCTGGAAGATATCTCCATCAAATACCTTAAGTATGAATTTTGAGTTGCACTGGAATAAATTATATTTTTCTGCTGAAACACAGGAATGAATAATAATATTGTCCTCTTATCTGAAAGCCTTACGATTCCCATATCTGTGGTAAAAGCTGTAGATCTGAATTCTGTTTGCTGTCTCTAGCCTGAGGTATTTCAAAACCCATGTTTTCCCATCCCCCCGAAAAGGGCTCAAAGTTCCATGCCGTAGGTTTCTCCAGGATAACGGAGTTTCTACATCTCCAATGGGAGCTGTGCCAATCACAAAAGACTTCCTGGACAGGGGAAATCAAAATATAATCCAGTTATAAATATATTTTAACTGTGCATAATGTGACTTGAGAGAAAAAAATACTCCATTTATTAGGATTGCCTTTTTTTTAATGCATAAAAGCATTTTTGGAATTTGCGTGCATCTTTTTACAAAGCAAAAATGTGAGTAAAGGAATTCGCAGTCCAGCTGGCCAAGCCATAATGACTTTAAGATACTAAAACAGATGAAATATTCTTGAAGCCAAGGAGACACCATTTGCTAAAAGTCTTAGTAACTGAAACATTAAAAATAGCTCAGGAAGCTTCTTTGTAAAACAGTATTGTGACTTTCTCTTTGGAAATACAATGGAAAACCAACCAAACAAAACAGCATACAGCTAATTTCAGAGATTACTCAGGTATAGTGTTTTACACACAGGGGCTCCTTCTAAAACTAGATTCGAGTGTTTTTTGAATATGGAAACTGTAGATTAATATAACTTTTACTCAGAATTAGCAGATGATCTAGACATTTTGTCCCTACTCAATAGTGAACACAAGGTGAACCTGTAATGACTTCCTTTTTTTTTTTTTAAAAAAATCATTATTATTGTTTTTAAAAAGCATTTTATGCCATGGAAGTAGTCTTCAAACATCCTCTTTGAGGGTTGCCTTTTAGGGAACAGAACCTTCTCTATTCTTTTGGTTGGAACAAACAATGACATTTCATCTTTTTGTTTTTCCCACCTACCAGAGAAATATAATAGTCAACTGTCAATTCTATTTGGACTAAAAAAATAATAAATATTACCAGTGAATAAATGTGGACTAAAAAAACCAGAGGTGTTAAAAATTATATTTGATTAGGGAATCCACAAAAACATCCTTAAAACAAATGTAAAATATTATCTATATAGCAAGCATAAAGACCAAAACAATTTTAGGACCAGTGACCTGATCCTTATCTAACAGCACTTCTCTTCCCAGTCTCTGCTACTGTCCTTCTGAAAGAGTATCATGACCTCAGGATGTCCTCACATACCCTTGAGTAGGATCTTGTTTCTTTTATGCCAATAGGCATATATTAAGTCTTAAAAAGTCTTAAATTACCCTGTGCAACTTCATTGTTAATTCATTGGCTTTTGATTAGAAAGACTTTATTTGAAGTCTGAGGAAATACACGCGTATAGTGCTTCCTTTTACTGTTTTACTCTGCCAGCATCACTGGCTCTACGTATTAAGGCTCTCCCAGCCTTACTCTGTATTTGTTTGTTGGTTTCCTGAACTTCATCCCATACACACTGGAAAAATGTTCTTCTTGCTTGCCCTTCTTCCTATCCTTTATCTTCTGCCTTTGACTTCTAGGAAGTTGCTGTTTGAAGTCAGAACTGTAGTAAGATCAAAATCTGCCCTGACAGATTAGCAGGTCAACAGCTGGGGAAAAAAAACAAACAAAAGGACAAAAACCAACCAAATAAAAAAAACCCAAACTGTTCAGGATTATAAAGGTTTGGAAAATATATTCTTACTAATATGATATGAATTTTGGACAGGAAGAAGAGCAGAGGAATTTAGTTTTCTACCAGAAGTGGAAACCAAACAATGCCCTGTCCAGAGGGATCAGGAGAAAGGACACAAATAGGTCAGAACACTGACGGTTACAAACAACACTTTCACATGCATTCTGGGGAAACATTAAATCAGCCTTCTGTCCTGAGCTTTTCATTTGCCTTAGATTCTGAAGCCAAGCTGCGAAAGTTGAAAGTATTAAGAATTAGAGGAAATTGTCAAGTATCTCTAAATACAATTTAGTGCCTCAAAAATATCAGCAAAAAGGCTAAAAAGTTCTAAAGGGAACTACTGCAAAGGGAGGAAAGAGCTGCAGGTGCATCTAGCTGTGCAGGAACACTGGGTACTCTGCTAATGGCATTACGCCTCGCTGAAATAACTGAATCAGCAGAATTTCTATTTATATGCTTTCTTCCTACAACAGTCACAGTCAAGGCAGAAAACTCAGCAGTCCTGCCTCAGGGGAGAAGTTGGTATGCTTGAAAAAGAATTAGCAGTAGAGTATAAGAAGCAATTCTACCTTTTAAGCTTACACAGAAGTTGTACATTATTGGCAGGAAAGAACAAGTCCTCGGCAAAAGTCATTAGGATGGAGATTTTGTGCTTTCTCCGTTTCTTTGCTGACACAGTAAGACAACCCCCTTCAGAAGTCTACTTGGCATACAAGTAACCAGCTGATCATGCCCCAGTAAGCCAAACTTGTCTTCCACAGGTCTGCATGCAGAAGCAGCCAAGACTCTACATCACAGTTTTCGTGTTGTAAGGTTAACTTTCATGATTAACTTTAACTTTTCAGGGTACATATATTGCAGATACTTCATGTTAATATAGGTGACACATGAACACCTTCTTCACATTAATCAAACCAGAAGAATTCTTGAACCTGTCAACTTCATGCTTTCTTCCAACATTAAAAGTCACTTTCATGTAAAATGGCTACCTTCATAACCAAATTCCAAAACTGACTGAATCATTACTGAGGAATTCTTTCAGATTTTAACAAGTTATCTTATTTTCCAAATGCTGACAATGCTGATATTAAACACATTATAAACATATAAACAGGCCAGCAAAGAGCTTTTACTTTGACCCTCCATTAGAAAATAAATAGCAAAATGTTTTCCCAAAGGGATGAAAACTAGTAATGAAAAATTATGTCTTACAGCTTTGAAAAGATCAACATGCGTAATTCTTGAAATGCACGGTATTACCTATACGAAACACTTGGCTCTTTAGATGTATGACTATTAAGATACATAAAAGCTCAGCAGCAGCATTAGACTGAGACTGTAAATTTGCTTTCTAATCTATGAACAACAACATGGAAGTATCTGTTCTTAGGTTGTATGTAGTTTTAATAAAACACTGGATGCAATTCATTACCGTTTTATCCCTGAGTCGTTCTCCATGGATAAGAAAATCAGCACAGCTATTCTCTTCCTGGTGAATGACTTTGAAGACTGTGACACAGCTTAGTCCACCCCCTCCAAGCGGTAACCATCCACCACTTGAGTCATCCCGGGTCATCACCACAGCTCGCACTCGTGCATAACTATTACTGGAAGAGATACAAAAGCAAAAGTTAGTTTTCCATAAATGCAAAGCAGCTAAGCATCCGATCTTGTTGACAAAACCACGATCACAATAGCTAACACAGTGGAGGTTGAGGACTTTCAGTCACTTAGAAAAAACCAGCCAAAGACAATTCTCTAGAAACTTCCTCTCTAATTCCCTCGTTAGGTCTTCTTCAGAAACATCTGCTCCTCCTTGGAGCTTAGATGCAACTCCTTCACAGCATTCATATTCACTCACATAACACAGTTCCTCGGAGTCAAAATATACATTCTTCTAAAAATTTTGAAGTCAGTGATCTAGCTGCAAAGAGCTGGGGCAATGGGGGGCAGGGGTGAGTGGGGAAAGAGAGTAAGAATCAACTCCTGATTTATTTTAGGCTAATCATGAAGCAAGTCAGCCACCATGAAATTGCGCAGAAAAGGAAACAAGAAACCAAAAAGAGGTCAAGCCTTCTCCCACTGAAATCTAAACAAGAACAGGTTTCTAGCCCGAAACCCTGCTTCCCTCCCTCCACGTACCAAACCTGCCCTGTGGAACGGTAAGCCAGAGAGCGCTTGTGCTGGGGTGTTCCAAAGATCTCGACTGGCAGGACAACACAGCCAGTTACGGAAATATTTCAGTGTTTACTAGCCGATTCTCTCCTGTTTTGGCACTGTATGGAAAGTTCCTTGAATCTTACAATTTACTAACTTTTTTCTCCATGTTTTAGCATTTTTATGAAATAAAAAAATGGTTATCACTTCATTATTTAAAATCAGTAGTCCAAATTCCTTTTTCAGAGAGTCTCAGAAAAAGAGATTTTCATGATCTTCTCTCTCCTTTTATCTTAATTTAATAAAGCAGTTTTGGTTATGAATATGCTGCTACATCAGCTGGAAAACCACGTGGTTTACCAAAGTCGTTATATGATCCTGCATTCTAAGTCTGGTTTTTATGAGGCCCATGAATGAGTATTCCAACACTTTGGAAGAAATAAAGCCTCAGGCTATCTTTTGCAACATAATTCTAATCTTAGATTTGAAAAATTATGCCAATTAGCATTAGTTACATAAAATTTAAGACAGGACTGGAAGTTTTAAAGAAAGGTATTATACCAAATTATTCCTTTTGTACACACACACACGCATATATACACACACACACAAATATTTGGTGCAAGCATCTAAAGCTCAGATACATAAAGCTGTGCAAAATGGGAAATCAAAAAGACAAAATCCATTTTAGCCTACAGGCAACTGAAATAAAGGTGTTTTGGGATTTATTTTGGTTCATTTTTTGTTTTTTTTTTTTTAAAAACATAGACTATGTTCCTTTTTCCCCCTCAGGAAAAAGAACAATCCCCCCAAAAACAAACAAAAACCTTCCCTCACCTCAACCTGGTAGCTAAAATGACAGCTTAGTAAACGCGGCTGATCATTTTGTATGGTATTTTTTTACTAATGTTTCCCCAACAGTAGACAAATATAATCATGAACAACGCAGTCATTCATTGTATGCATCTCTCAATTCTAATATCTGAAAACAAAAGTTAAATTTTTGATGCTTAATAATATTACTGAAATAATATTCGGTAATCATTCATTAATGTCTATCATTGTATCTCGCTCAGAAAAGTTCAGATTATAACTGCACACTTGGACACGGGAAGTCTCTTATTTCTCTTAGGTGAAGAGCAACTGCCTCTTCTGATAAACTGAGGACACCAGAGCTTTCCTGTGAGTCCGTAAGGAAGAAGGGGCACTAACTGGTTAAACCTACACCATATTTCTACTATTCTTCTTTCAGGCCAAACACAAATTTAGCTTAAAGGTTAACCATTCTACAGATTAGGTTACAAACCTGAATATTATAGCTTTCTTTTGTTTACCAACAGAACTACTCCTGAGGTTACTAAGGATGATACTTAACTATAATCTCACTGTGTTTAGGGACAGCTACAGAAGTTCACTTAGACTACGCACCCTCTTTAAGAACAGTCACAGAAAAACACATCTTCACATTTAGCATCATTCTTAATTACTACATGTAAATGAAAAACACTGAACACTAGAGGTTTTTGTTTGCTTTCCTAATAATGGAAGTTTACACTCCAGATCAGTTTTCTTTTCAGGAAAAGCTAAGGAGATGTAAAGACAGAAGATACATACAATACCTCAATACCTTAGCTACTTCCATATTCTGGAAGCTGTCTGTCAGTGTTGGGGTTTTTTCCCCCCTTCCCTATAGCAAGGAGTCTAGTTTTGTCCAGTTAACAACCTTGCATTTTGCTTCTAGATTTTCTATTCTTTAAACTATTTCAAACACTTATGTTGTCAAAAATTTTTAAAAATATTGTCAAAACCACTGTATTAGTGTAAGAGCCAGAATAAAAGTCTCCAACACATAAGTCTGTAATGTTTAATGTATAGTCTTTTACAGCAAAATGAAAGAGAAATTTTTCCAGGCCGCTACCCTGTGAATTAACTAGACAAATTCTTTACTGTAGTTGCATAACAATATCAACAACTATAAAAAGACTGTTTAAAACAAGTTGCATGCTTTTAAAGTGTATAGGGACTCACAATTGGTCATAACAGCTATTTTCAGAAAAAATACAAATTGATAGCACTAAGTCCTGCTGCTGCTTTGTGACTAGCTGCAAATCAATTTCCTGCATCCTCTGCAAGCAAAACAGGGAATCTGCCTTTCACAGTACTGATGCTATTGAAACCACATACATGTCTATCTTTGTAAGTGCTAGAGCGCTGTCTACGTTTGTGAATGCTGGGAATAAACCGTTAAGATGCCAGCACAGCTCAGAGTGCAGACAAGGCATTTTTCAGCACAATCCCCATACTATTTTTAAAAATCTGCAACCTGACATTTTTAACTACTCTTGCAGGTCTAATTATTGCTGATAGAGCAGCTAAACAAAAGAAAACCAAACAAACCCGGAAATCTGTTGAGCCCTGCTTTTATGAAACCTTTTACAAGAGCTACCCCAAACGCGTGAAATGCGGCATAAACAGTACGTTGCGACAGCTGTCCCAAACCTATTTTATCACATGCAACATTTTCTGAGACACACTGATTTTAGTTGTGGTCACAGGAAATCGAAGAGGCAGAGCAAGGTTTACAGGAAAAGCAAAACAGGATTCTGTCCACAGCAGCATGCTGCTTCCTAAGAACATATGCCAAACACCATTGAAAGCAGGCAACCAGCACCCTAGACTCTGAGATGAATTCATAATAATTAAGAAAGCAGAACTTCTTCCTGCAACAGTTGGATGCTTCAGATGAGGAGATGAGAGAGTTTTATTCATGTGATTACAGTAAGTTACAAAAGTTATGAATGAAGTATACATATATATATAAAGTTCTCCAAAGTGTAATTTTCCCTTAATAGTTGTTTTAAGAGCTACTAGAAAGTAGACCAACATCTGAACTTTATGCCTACTAAACTTGAAATAAATTCATTTTAAGATAGCATAGCAGCAACATGCAAGTCAGAGCTTGAATACTTTAACTGCACTATCTGACTAGAAAAATCATCTTGTTTTGCTAATATTTTACATCAGAAGATGGGATGGGGGGCCTATAAAAGTATCAGTGAGCAGAAACGAAGAGCTACAAACCATAAGCAGGCAGCAAAGGTAGAAACGTTACAAGTATTTGCCTGTTCTCAACTTTTAACATTTCAACTGTTAAAGTTAAAAACATCAATCATTAAAATCTGAGGACAGGTTTTAAAAGCTTTCCCGTCCCTCTGAAAACTACATGTTTATATTGCTGTAATGTTATTGGGCCCAAACTGGACTTCTGACCTGAATGAACCAGCCGTTGCTCAAACACAAAAAGCGCTCCTCTGCCCTCGCTAGGCAGATATTCTTCAGCTTAGCAACTAACGAAGAATTCTTCCTCCCCGTTCCCCTACTCTTCCATATTACCAATTCATCATTATAGCTTTACTTTTAAAAACTGCTTTGGTAAGTTGGGGTGTTTCTTACTCATAGTATCAAACCACTTCAGGATACCAAAGCATTATTACTACATTTATCCTTTCTTCTATTAATGATCCAAAAAGGAGGGATGGTTAAGAATCTTCTACCAAATATTTTTTCCAGAGAAAAAGGGAAGACACGTTGATGGAGAAAAGACAAGGCAGCTATCTTCTTCCATTCCATTTATTCATACCTAGATTTAACAGTATGCAGCTCTGCCCTTTCCTAGATAAACATTGAGTAGTGGCATTATTTTATTTATATTGCACCTTGCACACTTCTATTTTAATGAAGGATTGAAGAAAAAAAATCACCTTACAAAAATCTTTGTAAAGATAGTTGTTAATGGCAATTTCAAGTTGTTTTTCAGTACTATAAAACTACCAGAATCACCATTGAAAAGCTTGGATCACCAAGTGGAAGTATAAATGAAGCTGTACAAGAAGTTGATTCTCCTAACTTAAGTAAAAATATTTAATATAAATTTAATGATGTATTCCAAAGCAAAGTATGCACATAAATTGCAATAAAATACAGCTTTACAAATATAACTAAAATGGGTTAATGTATGAGAAAATATTACGATACTTTAGTGAAATCTTGCCATTGTACATAACTACTAGATAAACACTACTGCTATAGTGCTAACACCATTCTGGCAAAACTAAGAAAAAAAAAAAAACAAAGCATTTTGCATTCTGAAACATCTTGAGGCATTTTGCTATGAAAATATACCATCTTTGCTAGCATGCAAGTTACAGTGCTCCAGGCAAATGTCTCAAAATGAACTTGTCATGGATCAAGGCTCCTCATTTTGATTGGTACTTTACACGCATACTTTAACTCCTCCAATTTCTGGTGCAGCGTGCTTGAGTGTTTGTAGCCTCTCCCAAAGAGCATACAAGAACCACTCTTTGGCTTTTTATGGTTCTTATTATCCAAACACCTTGAATAATGACTATGTGCATGCCTAGTACACCAAAAGGTAACACCAAACCACTGA